CAATAAATATTGTGTACATTCAGGCATGGGTTCTGTACACCCGGACAAAAATTTCGTACAACACAATAAATATTGTGTACATTTAGACATGGGTTCTGTACACCCGGACAAAAATTTCGTACAACACAATAAATATTGTGTACATTTAGACATGGGTTCTGTACACCGTGGGCAAAAGATCTGTACAATCAGATATTACTACCTTACATCCGGACTGTATATTGAAAATTGCTGTATATTGAAAAGATTTATGTCCTAGTCCCTCGCGATTCGAATAAGCGAGAAACTGTAACAGTATAAAAATATAATTTTGATTTATCAAATTACAGGATATTAGGCTGGTTTTTTTTCCAACAGTTGTACCTAAAAATAGCTTTCTTGAGAGCTGCTCAGCTATATAAAACAAACATTTTAAAAATATCTAAAAATACATATTATATATATATATATATATATATATATATATATATATATATACATATATATATATACAGAGAGAGAGAGAGAGAGAGAGAGAGAGAGAGAGCTATGGGTAGAGAGCTGGACTACTAACCCGTAAGACTCGAGTTCGAATCCGGGTCAGTAGACCGTCCCTGAGTTTATCCAACTCTGATGGGTACCTAACTCACGTTAGGCAAAGTAAAGGCGGCTGGGCATAGTGCTGACCACACTATGTCTTCATATGCCGAGGTCATAGAAACAAGTAAACTCTACTTCAATTGCCCCATAGACCGTCAGGTTTGTAAGGGAACTTACTTACTTACATCCGGACTATAGTTATCCACTTATAGGCTAACTTTCATTTGATGAATTTGATAGTCCCTTACACAAAACACTGGCCTGACGTATTTCACGTTCCCAGCCAACCGTATAACCTTTGACACGCTATTGACTGTTCTCTCCCTCCCTCCCCTCACCCCCCCCCCCTCCCACTCACATACCCAGCCCACCCACTTTGGTGCCAAATTGTGTTTTACGTCATACTTACCATCTACAGCCTATCATAGTTAGATGGTACTTTAATCTGTAAATAGTGGTCAGCCAAATTCTGGTAGCAGAATAAATGATAGTACAGGCTAACGTGTGGTAGGCGTAATGCAAGAAGAAGAATAAATAACAGAAAAGGTTTTAAATATGTGGTAAGTAGCAGAAGAAATACTGGTTGAAAACAAGCAGTAAAATAGAGTACGGTAACTAACTGCCCAGTTTTACATGTGAAAAGCTAAGGATTTTTTTACATTCGTTCCCTTTATACACATCGTCACTGAGGTCCCAAACTTTTTCCATGTTATTTATAGACGCGTCCCTCGGGTCGGCGTGGTCGGGCTATTAGGCGTGTTCGTATCGATAAAGCTCTTGCTTGCTTAACCGAAAATTCTTAGGTTCGAACCCCGGGTAGATGACTAGATAAACAGCTGCTACCTTGTAGTTTGTTCTTGGATGGTTAAAAGCTATAGAAGCAAATTCAGAAAGAACATCTAATACTTAATTGTGGTGGAGAAAATCCAGCCCAACATTACAATTAAAAAAAAAAACCAAGAAGAACACTTTTTTTTACATCGCAAATTGTTTTTGTAAATGCTATCAACCTTTCAAACATAATCAATATCCAAAGGTGGCACAAAATTTAATTATGTAATGTAACAATTGAAAATGCGAAATAAAATTTAGATGAACTTGCAACGTAAGGCGAAATGTTCAAAAAATCTTTGTTGGGGAAAAGACGATTACCTATTCACACAACTATTTTAAAAAGCCTTACGTTAAAAAAACAATTCTTGTGTTAACTATTACAAATAGAAAAAAAAACTACAACAATCTTTTGGTTAAAACACATTGTGATACTGAATTACAATTTTAGCACTACTACATCATGAAAAAGACATTGTTCAAACTCATACTTTCTGTGAAGATTACAAGTTCTGAACTATTTGACCATTGGCTACACCTAAAAATCAATATGACTGACCATCGACTTATAGCGAAATTTATTAGAAACGGAAAAGCATTCACATTCATAAATGAATTATATAATTATAAACAGGCCTTCATTATTGTTCTAATACTGACTTTGAAACTTACACCTTCAACCAGAAAAATTCACATTCCCTTTATTTTTATGGGGAAGTTATTAAGAATACCGTTTTAAAATGATACTCATTATGAATCAGCACCAACAGTAAAACATTCAATTATTTCAATAGACCGCTAAAGTCTAATGTCTGTCAAGGGAAATAACCGCCAGAATGAAAGAAAAGAACGGGTAATGAAAAGACAAAATAATAAACCGGCAGTGATCTCCCCTTAACTTTCTCGAATATTCTACGGGGGATGGCAACTCGGGATATAGACAATATTTTTAATCCATTTTTAATTACTTAATCTTTTTATAATGGAATAGAATATCGTAGAAAAAAGAATTGCACACCAAGTGAACGCCAAATTTCATTTATCTATCTAAAATAGTACTCATATTATAGCCTATTGGAAAATTCAAAGTAGAAAAAGTTCCACTTCCGTTTTTCTGAAATCGCTGAAAAGTTGATACGGATCTACAAATTTGATATAATACCTATATATGAAATTTCATCAACCTAACTGTAACGGTACTCAAGTTATCGTGTTTACAGAGACACATACACGCACACACACAAATACACACACACACACAGACAGACATACTGACAAGATTGCAAAATTATGTTTTTCCGACTCAGGGAGGGGTAAATCTCGATTTTTTTTTGCACGATTACAAGACTTTCTCTATACTTTGTATATACGAGAAACTAAAAAGTCGATACATTGTTATTTTCACTGCAATCGGGAACTAAATCTCGGAAAGTTTACACTGGCTCTTACCAAAAATAAAAAACATAAATAAATAAATAAATAAATAAATAAATAAATAAAACCCTCACTTTATTTTTTTCATCTCTTCTCTTATTTCCAATTATTTGAGTTCTCACGTGACGATGTGAAAATAATTTTCAAGACCCACAATAGATTCTGAATGTACCGAGTTCCAAGTCCCCTTCTGGCACACGAGGCTTGTAAGCTAAGAATAGCCACTCACCCAGAAGACAGAGCTCTCACGCGAGTAGCTTAGCAGGTTGTTCTTGGGTGAAAAAGGAGCAGCAAATCTGAGAATAAAATCATGCTAAACTCAATGCCGACAGGTCATTTGGCGTTAATTTGTTTGGCAATTAAAACAATTACCAGTGTCAGAGTTAATTCAAAACCCTAAACTCGACCGTAAACCTATTCCTATAAGACACAGTAGTATTTCTATAAAAGTCGGTGTGGTAAAGCTCAAGGTTGCTTATCGGAAAAGTCCCGAGTTCGAATCCCCGGACAGGTGAAGCTCAATAGCTGTGGACAACAACCTAACTAGGGGAGACAACTCCAAAATCTAACAACCGCTCTTGTTAGGATAAAGGCTGTTGAAGCAAATCCAGAAAGAACAGCATTCTGAAATCGGAGTCAAGGTGTCATGAGGTCGCTTAACTAGTTAACACGTAATGCTTAATTGTGTTGGACAAAATCCAGTCCAACATTAGAATTGAGAACGAAGAAGAAGAAGTATTACTATTTAATATCTTAGCTGCTACTGATGCTAGACACAAAAATTGATTGGCAATGTAATGAAAAAAAATCTATCTTTTTCTGGTTTAATTTTTTTTTCTGTAATTAGTGAGGTTTGAAAATTATGTGCAGCAGCCTATTGCAATACACGACAAAATAATCTCTGCAGTACAGCAGTAGTCGTGGTACGTCTAACCCTTTGACGTGCGGTCCATGGACTCTAGCGACTAGTCCCTAACTCTCAAACAACACGGAATGTCAAATAAATAAAAATGAGATGTGACGTCATCACCGAAAGGAGAGTATAAAATCTTTCCCTTCAGTAGCGGGTTCGTAGTCCATGTTGTCTTTGCTAAATTCCCCCCCCCCCTCCCAGTGGGAAATCCCAACACCGATCTCACCCAATCACATTGAGCAATAGGGCCAACGCCTACAGTGTAAAGTACTAAAGGAAACGTCTGCTTTTATTAACAGACGAGATATGGCGGGGAAATAGCGGCCTTTGATCGTACGTCCGGTGAACCCTATCAGGCTAAAAATAGATGACTGCAGTTGTCTATCCAGGTTAAAAATAGTACACATATTTACCCCAAAGCAGTTATTAAAAGACACATTTTTAAATTGGATTCCTCGGTTACATTTTTAACATGCTAATGTTACTTTGTTTCCATTTTTTTCGTATCTAACACCCCGCCCCCTTTCTCCTTCGACATTAAGGTAAGTCTACATATTAGTTGAACTCAGCCCCTCCTCCCCCCTTCCAACTCTCTAACGTCACAAAAAATTTGGGATTTTTTTACACTTCTCCACCCCCCCCCCCCCTTGTCTATTTTCGACGACCTCCTCCCTCCTCGGCAGATGTTGACGTCTATACACATTTTGAAAAATCGTTCAAACCGTTCTGCCAAATTACTACTTTGACAACGTGCAATGTTTACATTGCTATACTACTACAAATTGGATATTTACGAAATATATGCTGTTTTCTTTATCAAATTCAACACAATAGTATTGTTTTAGGATAAAATATTTCACGGACAATCGAACAAAACAGATACAATTTTTAATGCATGTGTCTTTATTCATGTATCAGAAAGAGTATTAAAGTATGTAGGAGATAGAGCGCTGTATAATATATATATATATATATATATATATATATATATATATATATATATATATATATATATATATAATATGCAAAGAATAACAGAGGGTTAGCGAGAGTTGAAGCCAGAGGCGTAGCTAGGCGGGGGCAGGGGGTGCGGAACGGACCTGGTGACACCATTTAGGGGGGGGGGGGGCACCACCAAGACGAAAAATGGAAGAAGAAAAATATATATGGAAGAAGAAAATATTTTTTTTTTCCTTTGGTGTCTGTGTGCGGGGGGGGGGGGGGGGGGGGGTGACACCATGAAGTGCCGCACCGGGTGACACCCGACCTAGCGACCCCAATGGTTAGAGCTAATTTAGCTAATGTAGACAGACAGTGCTACAATGCTGACGTCAACATAACAAAAATGTAACACTGGGTCACTTCTTGTCCACGTGCATGGTCATGACGGCCTTGACCCTGCCCCAGTCGACGTGGGTGGCGCCAGACTTGTGCAGCAGCAGCAGCTCGCTGACCAGCTCCTGGAAGGTCGCGGCCTTGACCTCCCGCTGGTGCCACTGACAGAGCAGACTGCAGGCAGCGCGCGCTTCGTTGTGTCGCGAGCTCTCCATCGTATGGCTCACGTCTGCCATGTTGAAGCCGAGACGGTAGAAGACAGATTCCCAGAACTCTCCAAAACAGGCGGCCAAGAGGCAGGCGGTATCTTCCTTTAGTTCCACTCTCTGGATGTCGGGGGGTATATTGAAGAACCACGGATCTGAGATGAAGATGGAATTAAAGTGTTAAGCAATCAAGACTTGGGTGTTATATTATCATCACATCCGATAGTTTTGTGGGACGGAGTGGTCTAGCGGTAGAGAGCTGGACTGCTAACCGGTAAGTCTCGAGTTCGAATCGGGGTTCAAGTCAGTAGACAGTCCCTGACGTCCATCCAACTCTGATGGGTACCTAACTCACGTTAGGGAAAGTAAAGGTGGCTGGGCATAGTGCTGACCACACTATCTCTTCATATGCCGAGGTCACAGAAACAAGTTAACTCTACTTCACTTGCCCCATAGACCGGCTGGTTTGTAAGGGAAACTTTTACTTACTTTACGTTATTTTTAAATACCATATAGTTTGTTTACAATAGATAGTTAAGTAAGATCTTATCAAATTATAGTTAGTTCTTTTCTACTCGTATTAAAATTAAGTTTTTACAGGGAGATCACTCAGCTACATAGAACATCAGTGACGTTTTTAATACAACATTGTTTACTTATATTACTTCCGTTAGACCTACACAATTATAAATTAGTCCTTTTCGACTTGTGTTGACGTACTCTTGTTTAGATACAATTAAATGTTAAATTACTTCAGGAAATGGATGGGAGGGGGGAGGGGTGGTAAATCGTGTGACACAATTTGACCTCGGATGTAGTTGTCAATATAAACAACTCACTTCATAACATTACTCGCTCAACATCCGGGAAAGTGGGTGGCCCTGTTAGGAAGTGTAGTCGCTTTAAGCTGATTTATACTGTCACGTGATTGGTCTATCTATTTGAGTATTGTAATGTTCGCATTCTGACACATTTTTTAAAGCAAATCGGTAAAAATAATCACTTCAAATTAATTTAGGCTTTTTTTTTGACGATTTTTTACCTCCCCCTCCCCTCCGTCACACAACGTCACAAAAGGCCAGACCCCCCCCCTATAATTACGTCACACTTCAGAGTATTTTAATCAATTCCTATAGCAATTTATTTAAAAAGTTTTCTAAAACGCGAAATAACAGCTAAAATTCCGTTTTCAAACATTGCTTTTTTATGAAGCAAAAATGTGACGTCACACCATCTGAACCCCCCCCCCTCCGCCTCATCACACATCGTCACAAAATTACGGACCCCCCCCCCCCCCCTCCTCATTTATGGACGACACCTTAGAGTAGGGTGGACATTGGTAATCGATCCCCCGATACAAAAAATGAAACACCTCGCAGTCACTTTGTATGCAAATGAAGGGGTTTCTTAAACTTATAAACTTAATTAAATATAGTACTTAATTAGCACACTCAAGTGCTAATCTCTCCTCGACCAAGAAATGAAGTTAAAACATACCAATGTCAAACGTCTGTTTACTACATGCTGGTGAACTCGGTTGGCTGAAAATACAAACAGTAAAACATTTAATAGTTCAGCTTGTTGTTTAAAGTTCCGCGTTAACTTCTTTTTTGATACTTTAAGTTTCCAGCGTTATTCATAAAGTCAAATAGTTGAGTAACAGGAAGGAAATCTCAAGTTCCCATTTATTTGGATGGCCAGAGCACTTAAAGCAAAGAGTAGGAGGAAAATTCGATGTGGTTTTGGATTATAAAATACCAGGTTTCTCATCACACATACATTACATACATAAAATACACACATACATTTGTACACACACGCGCATATATATATATATATATATATATATATATATATATATATATATATATATATATATATATATATATATATATATATATATATATATATAAACACTCACATTAGTTAATGACTAAGATTGAAACACAGAGAGCGTTACATAGCTACATCTCACAGGTTGTGATAGGAAATAATTATCTTGAAAGTGTAAAGTATGGAGGATCTGATTCTCTCTCACTTCCTGACTCTCTGACTGACTCTCTGATTTTCTAGCTCTTCCTCTCTGACTCTTTTACTGTCTTATGCTCTGGTTCTCTGTCTCTCTTACTCTCTATTTCTGATTCCCTGACTCTCTGATCCTTACTGTTCAAGGATGATCACTATTCTGATAATCTCATTCAGAAATAACCAATGTCCTACAGTTCTTCTGACTGATAGTATCCATTACATTGTCCACACCACATACACACTCTAGATAAGACCAGTAACTCCTATAACCTAATAATATTATCTCTAAAATAGCCCTCCCCACACCCACCCTATAAAGATATTATCTCTAACATTACCCTCCCCACACCCACCCCCTAACATTACCCTCCCCACACCCACCCTATAAAGATATTATCTCTAACATTACCCTCCCCACACCCACCCCCTAACATTACCCTCCCCACACCCACCCTATAATGATAGTATCCCTAATACTGCCCTCCCCACACCCACCCTATAAAGATATTATCTCTAACATTACCCTCCCCACACCCACCCCATAACATTACCCTCCCCACACCCACCCTATAATGATAGTATCCCTAACATTACCCTCCCCACACCCACCCTATAATGATAGTATCCCTAACATTACCCTCCCCACACCCACCCTATAATGATAGTATCCCTAACATTACCCTCCCCACACCCACCCTATAATGATAGTATCCCTAACATTACCCTCCCCACACCCACCCTATAATGATAGTATCCCTAACATTGCCCTCCCCACACCCACCCCCTAACACTACCCTCCCCACACCCACCCTATAATGATAGTATCCCTAACATTGCCCTATCCACACCTACCCTCTAGACAAGACCAGCAACTCCTTGCAGTTCTCCAGGCGATGACCGAACTTTTCCCCATCACCCATAGAGTAGGTGGTCCCATTGTCGTAGCTCAACACGATGTCATGGCTGTCTAGTTCTTCACGAGACAACCTCAGACTCCTCTCTTTGAACTGCAAATGAAATGAAATGATTGGGGCTACACTTATGCGTATGATAACACATTAAGGATCATAAGAGATATATAAAGTTCTGTTTTGCGTTTTGAGACAATTGATGTCACAAAGCAAATATAATGCTAAGTGCGCCTACAAGGGCATTAGATGAATAGACCATGAATTGACCATACATTGTGATCACTTTTTGGACTTTTCCCCTGTATAGTCTAACTCGAAAACAATGCTAAGCTTTTATGTTTTGTATCAATTCCGGCTAAAAAAGGTGGAAAAAGCAGTAGGTAAACCTACAGCATAAGGGACACAACTCCTGTTTGATAAGCTTTTTCTCCTAGATGGGTTGTTTCCCCAACTAGTAAGCCTCGAACTCTGGTATTTCATGTCGGCAACCATGAGCTCTACGACCCAACCTCCTCAGTAGCAAATCAGATACAACGGGCGTGTGGATGCCATAAATAGACTAGACGTAGACCAAATAGGCAAGCTGTATAAAATAGAGGTTGACCTACCTGGCGAGCAGTTGACCTCTGTATAAAATAGAGGTTGACCTACCTGGCGAGCAGTTGACCTCTGTATAAAATGGAGGTAGACCTACCTGGCGAGCAGTTGACCTCTGTAGTACTGTTGCTGTTGTGACTGACTCTTGCTTCATGTAGACCACTGGTATAGCGACATCTGGGAGAGGCATGGTTCGGTGATGGTGATGTAGGAGGGTTCGATCAATCTAGAGGGTTCGGTGATGGTGCAATAGGAGGGTTCGATCAATCTAGAGGGTTCGGCGCTGGTACGTTGAGGGGTTCGCTGATGGTGCTTTTAGGGGTTCGATCAATCTAGAGGGATTGGTGATGGTGCCTTCTGAGGGTTGAATGAATCTAGAAGGTTCGACAATAATGAAACGAGAGGGTTTGGCGCTGGTGCTGTGATATGAGAGGGTTGGGTTATGATGCTGCAAGTATTAATAATGACTGTGCCATAATAAAATTAAAGAACACATTTTTGTCAATTGATTAGCACACATGCAACTATGTGGGTACGGCTAATCGATAAGAACCGACATCTATAGCCAGCACACAATCATGTATATGCGCTGTACCATCAGGGTTTAGCCATGAATACACACCCCTTTTCTAGCCGATTCCCCACCCTTCACACGGCGTTAAAGCAAGTCACACTCAGGCATATATCAAATCATATTTCAGTCACCCTTGACCTTACCTAAATGCATATAAAAAATATCTATCAATCACTAATCTGTACTGGTTTGTTTGGATCTTGATCCGTTTCTTTATGGGACTGCTAGCCAGAGAGTCTGGAGTTCAAATCCGGGTTCAAATAATTGAAACGGCCATGAGTCCACCCAGCTCTGATGGGTACCTAACTCACGTTAGGGGAAGTAAAGACGGCTGGGCATAGTGCTGAACACACTATCCTTTTATAGGTAAGGTTTCTGAAGCAGATGAACTCTACTTTATCTGCCCCATGGGGAGGGGGGGGGGAGGGGGTAATACATTTTCCGTGAGGGGGAACCGACAGAGGTAAAAGTGTATATTTTCTATACAAATTCTATCTGATTTGGGGTAACCGGTAGACTTGCTCTAGGGAATGGGGATGCGTAAAAGAAACTCTGATGTTAATAACTATGATATTACAAATAGATCGATTTATTTGTTTTAATCTATTAATATATCAAAGCCTCGCGCACACTATATTTACATTAAACTTAGTACCCGGGTATATCTAAATGAAAGCTGTTTATTAATCCACAACCTACCTTTAAAGCCTTCAAGAAACTCCTTTCATCAAGTATTAGACCACAGCATCGATACCTTATCACTTGTCTTAATTTTAGACTCAGAATCACTGTGGTGGGATTTCCCTTAAAAATAAACATCCGCATTGTCGCTAAAAGTAATTTACTACAGCCTTGGATGATAAATTACCTTAAGAAAATAGGCTATTCTATTTATATCGTCATTGAGCGTATTCACAAAATTGTAACAGAAAGTGAAATGTAACTTGATCTAATAGTTTATCCCGTAGTGTCGAATGTAAGTTGATTTAATTTAATTTAGATAGTAATTTGTCTTATAGTGCCAATGAAAGCTATTTAGAAAGTATTATTTACATAACCCTAACATTGACCATAACCTTTCCAATTGTCCGGTCGTTGAACCTAAACCTTAATCCTGACCTTAGCGCCTATTATAACCAAACTTAAAATAAAACTTTATAAACAAAATGTTGCATATGTAGAAAAATGTTGTATATTTAGATAAAAATGTTGTAGGCCCTACATGTAGACAAAATGTTGTATACGTAGAAAAATTGTTGTATGTAGAAAAATGTTTTATTTGTTTAAAAAAAATGTTGTATATGTAGAAAAAATGTTGAATATGTAGAAAAATTTTGTATATGTAGACAAAATATTGTCTATGTAGAAACAATGATGTATGTTTTGATAAGAACACTAAACTTTTTTTATTTTGTGCGTTTGAATTTAAGTTTCAAAAACAGCGAAATGTCCGTTTTTCTCGAAATTCTTTTAATTCACGTAATTAATGTATTAATGGACTATGTTCAGGTGTAGTGGTTGATGTATCTGTCTGCAATGGTATAATTTGTATGGAACTCTTTTCATTATTCCTATAGCCGATGCTTTGTGTCATTTAAAATTGACCTATATAAATACGCTAAGATAATTTGATACAAAGTGTCTAAGTCACATCGAAAGACTTAGCATATTGCCAAAACAAGATTCAACATAATTTTGAAAATTCCCGTAATGTTTATCTTTTATCTTTTATTGTACAAAATCGTGGTTTGACTAGTGATGAAGTTTGGCTTGGGTACTAGAAATGTATTCAATAATGAGGGGTGGCGGTTTATCAAATTAGAATATAACATTATATGTAAAAGTTCCCTTTTTCAAACCTGACGCTTTATAGGGCAAGTGAAGTAGAGTGAAGAATAGATAGTGTGGTCAGCACTATGCCCAGCCGCCTTTACTTTCCCTAACATCAGAGTTGAGTGGACTCAGGGACGGTCTACTTATTTGAACCCGGATTCGAACTCGAGACTTATGGGTTAGCAGTCCAGCTCTCTACCGCTAGACCACTCCGTCCCCAAGATTATATGTGGTAGCTGCTTTTGTTTTTAAATACCAAAATCATTTCTTTTGTAAAACATACACAATCCATTAAATACGAATCAACAAAAAAATATCCAAAACAAAATGTTTAAATTAAATATTACAAAAATTATGTTTGTAAATTTTAATAGTATTAAATATAAAACCATAGCATAAATAATATTTACATGTTAGTATTACAAAACATTACAATTATTTAAACATTTAAACAATTGATCGTAAAACATTAATAAAACAGTCAGTATAAAATGTAAACAAAAGTCTAGCATCAATGTAAGCGTTATTTAGCACCAACAGATCCTCCTTTAAGACTGGCCACCAGCATCAAGATTCCAGCAACAAGGGCCAGGATTAGGGCCACGATGGCCAGGGCAAAAGAGAAACCGAATTTGGGGTCAGTGACCCAGTCGTCGATGTAGGCGGCGAAGACGATGACAGCGATAAGCCAGGACACCGCTGAAACACGTCATTAATTAATTAATTAATTAAATTCTATAAAACATTAGTACAATATTACGATTTTATAGTTTCAAGTGGTACATCTATCCGCATGAGGGTTTATAATATATATATATATATATATATATATATATATATATATATATATATATATATATATATATATATATATATATATATATATATATATATATCGCTTTTCAGACTCAGATTGGTCCAAAATCTATTTTTATAATTGTTCATGACACGGCTTTAATGTTTTGTTTTTGCTAACAATGCAACATTATTTCACCTTAGTTCCGTCTATAAATTTACATTTTTTGTAAGGAATCGTGTCTTGTGATTAAAAAGGAAAAACGATGTTCTATGTCTACTGATTTATGTATAAATCTATGCAACAAAAATGACTACTAAATTACCTGAGAATATGAGTGCCACTGCCGTAGACTACTAAATTACCTGAGAATATGAGTGCCACGCCTGTAGACTACTAAATTACCTGAGAATATGAGTGCCACGCCTGAAGAGATCCCCACCTCCTTGTTGCCCTTACACGAGCCGAAGAACATGTACAAGATGATGAGAAGACAGCCGACGTTCAGGGCGATAAACCCGAATATGGCGAACGTCTGGGTAGCTGCGAAGTCGTCTGGTGAATGAGAAAAAGTAAAACATGAACTTTTGGTAGCAATCACGTGATGTTGCTGGCTTAGATTGTAAACAAACAAAAAATTAAGTCGTAAAATAAACATTCAGCCCGGTACTGCGATGAAGCAACGTAATGTAAAAGTGGAAATATAATCGACTGGGCAGAAGAGAAGGGAAATAATTAAAAATAGAAAAGTACGCGCTAGAGACTGTTGTGTTAAATGTATGTTATATTTCAGTGTGTCTAAGGACAAAGTACAGTAACATTAGCTAGTATGTAAGGACAAAGTACAGTACCATTAGCTGGTATGTAAGGACAAAGTACAGTATGTAAGGACACAGTACAGTATGTAAGGACAAAGTACAGTATGTAAGGACAAAGTACAGTATGTAAGGACAAAGTACAGTATATAAGGACAAAGTACAGTACAATTAGCTAGTATGCAAGGACAAAGTACAGTACCATTAGCTGCTCCGTCCGTTATTCCACAGCCGGCACCAAAGACATTACTACAAGACCTCCATAGACCCAAGTGTGAGTTGGCTGCTGTATTAATGTACCATGACGATGTACAGAACGCCATCCAGCTGATCATGTAGAAGAAGCGTTGTGTTAGGGTTATAGCTAGCGTTTAAAGTGTACATCAGTTCATATTTTAGCCTAAGAAACATCAATGAGTACTTAAACACATTAAGAATTGTTGCTTGGCTGTTTTAGAATGTTTGTTTGTGGTTTCTTTTGGTGAATTATTTTGTTTGATTCTCAAGTCAACCATGTTTTTTTTGACTTGGTGGCTGGAAAAGCCAAGTCATATGGCTTTTGAAGTCACCAAGTCACCAGAAAATGAAATGATATCTAAGAATCATCAATAGGTAGAAAATTTGTCGCTCCTCCCACACCCCCACCCCTTCCATACAAACACACACAAGCCTGACTATTTATATATTGACAAAACAATCATGGAAATTAGAGCATTGCAGAGAATATCTTTACTCAAAATAACAGCCAATCATTAGCTGGTGATTAAAAGATTGATTCATTGTTATGTAAATAAAAGCTACAATAAAAATTTCAATGATCAACATTGTGTTAGAAATATGAATACGTTAAATCAAAGACGTGTCAAACATGTTTGGCCCATATCATTATAGATACCTTAATAAAAGACAGTGTAATAAACCTCTCCACTAAACGTTATCTTATACAAAGCAGATATTAAATAATCTATTTTATAAAACTGTCGAATTATTTTTTTTCCTCACACATATTACTATATAATCAATATAATTATGAAATCAATATTTCCATTTCCTCAATGATAAACATTCAATCACTATTTCAGTTTGCTAAAAGATCAACATATGCAATCACTATTTCAGTTTGCTAAAAGATCAACATATGCAAACACTATTTCAGTTAGCTAAAAGATCAACATATGCAATCACTATTTCAGGTTGCTAAAATATCAACATATACAATCAATATTCTAGTTTCCTAAATGATCAAAATAAAAAATTACTATTTCAATTTACTACTCAACATAACCCTACACGTTTATACAAGCGAACCTAACTCTATCTGCCCTAACAAAAGACAGCCGCACAAAACAGACTGCGTGGGTGAGGTGGAGTAGCCGCCCTTTGCTCCTCGGGGGAGCCATACAACACTAGACAAGCCGGGCAGATTTATAGCTTGTTTCCCCTTCACTCTTTTATCGGAGCTACGGAGGTAGCCAAACATAGCGATATCGATTTTCAATTAGAACTTTTAACATCGATACCCTCTAAAACGTATCGCAATCATTGCATGAATTCGGTCAGGTAATTTATTGTGTTTTGATTGATCTAATGTCCTTTCAGCAGCAGCACTGAAGCGTGTCAATGGTTTACTTTGGAATTCCTTTTGAAACGTTTAAAAAAACCAATGTACTTTAAGTTGAATGAAGAAAATAGCGCAACATTTTATTTCTGGCACTGTCGAGAACGATGATCACAACATATTTTGTTAATGTTTTTTTTTTTTTTTACAAATAACTGAGTGCGAATATATTTTCCTAATAATTTTAGAAATGAAATAACGAAACAATGAATATTTCATTATTGAAATTTAATATTACTGTTTTCATCATCGGCTTGTGTAGACTGATACAAATTTACTATAGTAATATTTTTTTCTTCATTCAAGGTTTACTTTTACACTATACAAAACGTCTAATTTCAATTTTATTTTAAATCTGAAAATGTAAATGCGTAATTCAATTGTAATTTAATGGTCTATAGAGAGAAGAAAAAAAAGAGAAAAAAAAGGTCCAAATGAAGTAAAAGGGCAATTTCGTTTTCAGTGGGGTGGGGGTGGTATTGGCTTATAATTAGAGCTGAAATAAATGTGGTACAAAATAAGAATACATATGTTATAAGCATGATATGTAGAGTAAAATGAGGCATAACAAATCAAACATTCTTCCCTTTCAAACAGCTATATCAGCTGTGTAACAGCTCAACAAAAGACCTAACACAGAACAGAGAACTGATAACACGGTGAGTTGTATAAATCATGTCAGGGGCTTCCCCTTTATCTCCCCTTTCTACTACACAATTCTTCTGGTATTTGAAACTTGACACTAATATTATAGCATTACAACAAGTATTCGCTTGTAGATGGACTTTATTAGGACTCATGAGATAAGAGTTTAATTAATTAATTAGCGAATTCCTCAGTTTTTAAAAAGACATTATTATTTCAAAGTTTTTCAGTCGCATGTATCCGGTTGTCGCCCCTGATAAAACAGTGTTGACTGCGGGATTCTTATTCAAATATTAAAATCCTGACAGCTACCCGAAATATAGGCACCCACAAAAAAAAATATCCCCAAATAAACATAATGTCAGGGTTCCCGTAACAAAACTATTTACATTCGTGTTCCCCATAAAACTTATTATTATGACATTAGGGTTTCCTCAAAATATTCTGGTGATTTTAGGGTTCCCTACAAAAACTATTATGATATAAGGTTTCCCCACAAACTTTATTATATAATCAGTTCCCTACAAAAACTAGTGTGAAATAAGGGTTCCCTTCAAACCATATTGTAACAACATTGGTTCCCTACAAACCATATTGTAACATCAGAATTCCCTACAAAAACTATTGTGATATAAGGGTTCCCTACACACCATATTGTAACATCAGTGTTCCCTACAAAAACTGCTGTGATATAAGGGTTCCCTACAAAAACTATTGTGATATAAGGGTTCCCTACACACCATATTGTAACATCAGTGTTCCCTACAAAAACTATTGTGATATAAGGGTTCCCTACACACCATATTGTAACATCAGAGTTCCCTACAAAAACTATTGTGATATAAGGGTTCCCTACACACCATATTGTAACATCAGTGTTCCCTACAAAAATTGCTGTGATATAAGGGTTCCCTACACACCATATTGTAACATCAGTGTTCCCTACAAAAACTGCTGTGATATAAGGGTTCCCTACACACCATATTGTAACATCAGTGTTCCCTACAAAAACTGCTGTGATATAAGGGTTCCCTACACACCATATTGTAACATCAGTGTTCCCTACAAAAACTGCTGTGATATAAGGGTTCCCTACAAAAAATGTTGTGATATAAGGGTTCCCTACAAACCATATTGTAACATCAGAATTCCCTACAAAAACTATTGTGATATAAGGGTTCCCTACAAACCATATTGTAACATCAGAGTTCCCTACAAAAACTGTTCTGATATAAGGGTTCCCTACAAACCATATTGTAACATCAGAGTTCCCTACAAAAACTGTTCTGATATAAGGGTTCCCTACAAACCATATTGTAACATCAGAGTTCCCTACAAAAACTGTTCTGATATAAGGGTTCCCTACAAACCATATTGTAACATCAGAGTTCCCTACAAAAACTGTTCTGATATAAGGGTTCCCTACAAACCATATTGTAACATCAGAGTTCCCTACAAAAACTGTTCTGATATAAGGGTTCCCTACAAACCATATTGTAACATCAGAGTTCCCTACAAAAACTGCTGTGATATAAGGGTTCCCTACAAACCATATTGTAACATCAGAGTTCCCTACAAAAACTACTACGACCCTGACCTAATTGATCCATACAACGTAGTTGGGCGGTGCCGTATTTACAAGATCTCTATTTACGGCGGCACTTTTATAGGGAGCCATAAATTTGACGTCATAGATTAGAGGGGGTCGCTGTGATTTTTAACACCCTAAACTATCATTACTGGGTGGAGTCGATCAATAAACCTTTTTTGTATCGATGTGTGACCGGCCAATATAAAATACCAGCTTGGATCGATAAGTGGGTGATCGATGAATGGGGGGGGGGGGGGCAATGAGAACAGGCAAGCTGCACTTTATGATAGTAGTGCACGCCTTGTGTGTGTGGTGGGGGGGGGGATACTGGGTTAGAGTACAGCTTGGTTTAGATACAGGGTTGCTAGGGTGGGGGTAGGGTCGAAAGGGTGAGAAGATAGGTAAGTGTTGGTTGGGGTTTGTGGGGTTGGTTGGGTTGGTGGGGTTGGGTTGGGTTGGCTCGGTGGGTTGGATGGGTTGGTGGGGTTGGTGGGGTTGGTTGGGGTTGGTGGGGTTGGTGGGGTTGGTGGGGTTGGTGGGGTTGGTGGGGTTGGTGGGGTTGGTGGGGTTGGTGGGGTTGGTGGGGTTGGTGGGGTTGGTGGGGTTTGTGGGGTTGGTGGGGTTGGTGGGGTTGGTGGGGGTCGGTGGGGTTGGTGGGGTTGGTGGGGTTTGTGGGGTTGGTGGGGTTGGTGGGGTTGGTGGGGTTGGTGGGGTTGGTGGGGTTGGTGGGGTTGGTGGGGTTGGTGGGGGTCGGTGGGGTTTGTGGGGTTTGTGGGGTTTGTGGGGTTTGTGGGGTTGGTGGGGTTGGTGGGGTTGGTGGGGTTGGTGGGGTTGGTGGGGTTGGTGGGGTTGGTGGGGTTGGTGGGGTTTGTGGGGTTTGTGGGGTTGGTGGGGTTGGTGGGGTTGGTGGGGTTGGTGGGGTTGGTGGGGTTGGTGGGGTTGGTGGGGTTGGTGGGGTTGGTGGGGTTGGTGGGGTTGGTGGGGGTCGGTGGGGTTTGTGGGGTTTGTGGGGTTTGTGGGGTTGGTGGGGTTGGTTAGGTTGGCTCGGTGGGTTGGATGGGTTGGTGGGGTTTGTGGGGTTGGTGGGGTTGGTGGGGGTCGGTGGGGGTCGGTGGGGTTGGTGGGGTTGGTGGGGTTGGTGGGGGTCGGTGGGGTTGGTGGGGTTGGTGGGGTTGGTTAGGTTGGCTCGGTGGGTTGGATGGGTTGGTGGGGTTGGTGGGGTTGGTAGAGTTGGTAGGTTGGATGGGTTGGTGGGGTTGGTGGGGTTGTTGGGGTTGGTGGGGGTCGGTGGGGTTTGTGGGGTATGTGGGGTTGGTGGGGTTGGTGGGGTTGGTGGGGGTTGGTGGGGGTTGGTGGGGTTGGTGGGGTTGGTGGGGGTTGGTGGGGGTTGGTGGGGTTGGTTGGGGTTGGTGGGGGTTGGTGGGGTTTGTGGGGTTGGTGGGGTTGGTGGGGTTGGTGGGGTTGGTGGGGTTGGTGGGGTTGGTGGGGTTGGTGGGGTTGGTGGGGGTCGGTGGGGTTGGTGGGGTTGGTGGGGTTTGTGGGGTTGGTGGGGTTGGTGGGGTTGGTGGGGTTGGTGGGGTTGGTGGGGTTGGTGGGGTTGGTGGGGGTCGGTGGGGTTTGTGGGGTTTGTGGGGTTTGTGGGGTTGGTGGGGTTGGTGGGGTTGGTGGGGTTGGTGGGGTTGGTGGGGTTGGTGGGGTTGGTGGGGTTGGTGGGGTTGGTGGGGTTTGTGGGGTTTGTGGGGTTGGTGGGGGTCGGTGGGGTTTGTGGGGTTTGTGGGGTTTGTGGGGTTGGTGGGGTTGGTTAGGTTGGCTCGGTGGGTTGGATGGGTTGGTGGGGTTTGTGGGGTTGGTGGGGTTGGTGGGGGTCGGTGGGGGTCGGTGGGGTTTGTGGGGTTGGTGGGGTTGGTGGGGTTGGTGGGGGTTGGTGGGGGTTGGTGGGGTTGGTGGGGTTGGTGGGGGTTGGTGGGGGTTGGTGGGGTTGGTTGGGGTTGGTGGGGTTGGTGGGGTTGGTGGGGTTGGTGGGGTTGGTGGGGTTGGTGGGGTTGGTGGGGTTGGTGGGGTTGGTGGGGGTCGGTGGGGTTGGTGGGGTTGGTGGGGTTTGTGGGGTTGGTGGGGTTGGTGGGGTTGGTGGGGTTGGTGGGGTTGGTGGGGTTGGTGGGGTTGGTGGGGGTCGGTGGGGTTTGTGGGGTTTGTGGGGTTTGTGGGGTTGGTGGGGTTGGTGGGGTTGGTGGGGTTGGTGGGGTTGGTGGGGTTGGTGGGGTTGGTGGGGTTGGTGGGGTTTGTGGGGTTTGTGGGGTTGGTGGGGGTCGGTGGGGTTTGTGGGGTTTGTGGGGTTTGTGGGGTTGGTGGGGTTGGTTAGGTTGGCTCGGTGGGTTGGATGGGTTGGTGGGGTTTGTGGGGTTGGTGGGGTTTGTGGGGGTCGGTGGGGGTCGGTGGGGTTGGTGGGGTTGGTGGGGTTGGTGGGGTTGGTGGGGTTGGTGGGTTGGATGGGTTGGTGGGGTTGGTGGGGTTGTTGGGGTTGGTGGGGGTCGGTTGGGTTTGTGGGGTTTGTGGGGTTGGTGGGGTTGGTTAGGTTGGCTCGGTGGGTTGGATGGGTTGGTGGGGTTTGTGGGGTTGGTGGGGTTGGTGGGGGTCGGTGGGGGTCGGTGGGGTTTGTGGGGTTGGTGGGGTTGGTGGGGTTGGTGGGGTTGGTGGGGGTTGGTGGGGGTTGGTGGGGTTGGTGGGGTTGGTGGGGTTGGTGGGGGTTGGTGGGGGTTGGTGGGGTTGGTGGGGGTTGGTGGGGGTTGGTGGAGTTGGTGGGGTTGGTGGGGTTGGTGGGGTTGGTGGGGTTCGGTGGGGTTTGTGGGGTTTGTGGGGTTTGTGGGGTTGGTGGGGTTGGTGGGGTTGGTGGGGTTGGTGGGGTTGGTGGGGTTGGTGGGGTTGGTGGGGTTGGTGGGGTTGGTGGGGTTGGTGGGGGTCGGTGGGGTTTGTGGGGTTTGTGGGGTTTGTGGGGTTGGTGGGGTTGGTTAGGTTGGCTCGGTGGGTTGGATGGGTTGGTGGGGTTTGTGGGGTTGGTGGGGTTGGTGGGGGTCGGTGGGGGTCGGTGGGGTTGGTGGGGTTGGTGGGGTTGGTGGGGGTCGGTGGGGTTGGTGGGGTTGGTGGGGTTGGTTAGGTTGGCTCGGTGGGTTGGATGGGTTGGTGGGGTTGGTGGGGTTGGTGGAGTTGGTGGGTTGGATGGGTTGGTGGGGTTGGTGGGGTTGTTGGGGTTGGTGGGGGTCGGTGGGGTTTGTGGGGTTTGTGGGGTTGGTGGGGTTGGTTAGGTTGGCTCGGTGGGTTGGATGGGTTGGTGGGGTTGGTGGGGTTGGTGGGGGTCGGTGGGGGTCGGTGGGGTTTGTGGGGTTGGTGGGGTTGGTGGGGTTGGTGGGGTTGGTGGGGTTGGTGGGGTTGGTGGGGGTTGGTGGGGGTTGGTGGGGGTTGGTGGGGTTGGTGGGGTTGGTGGGGTTGGTGGGGGTTGGTGGGGGTTGGTGGGGTTGGTGGGGGTTGGTGGGGGTTGGTGGGGTTGGTGGGGGTTGGTGGGGGTTGGTGGGGTTGGTGGGGTTGGTGGGGTTGGTGGGGTTGGATATGTTGGGTGTTGTTGGTGGGTAGGGTTGGTTGGGTCGGCTTGGTGGAGTTGAATGGGGTTGGGTGGGGTTGGTTGGGTGTGGTCGGCTTGGTTGGTGTTGGCGGGGTGGTTGGCGTTGAGGGGGTTGGTGGTGTTGTTGGGGTTGTTTGGAGTTGGTTGGGGTTGGATGGGTTGGGTGTTGTTGGTGGGTTGGGTGAGAACTTACTTGAAGATTTGAGTGACAAGGACGATGACCGCTGAAATCTTCACCAGAAGATCCGCGCCCATGAATCCATCTTTCAAGCCCATGACGTCACTGATTCAGATTTTGGAACCTTTAAGTAAAACAAAAAAGGGGTAAAGATCTTCTTTAGAACTAGTGATCCATTTTGCAGATGAAGGAGAGTTTCGGAACCTTTAAGTAAACGTATAAAATTAAACACAGATTGTACGCAAATAATTTATTGTCAACATAGGGTTCGACCATAAATGTCGCTAGGCTTTTAAAACTATTTAAATAACCCCCTTCGTTACACATCACACCCCCCCCCCCCCACCAAATGACGTCAAACTTCAACCAGTCTACGATTTCTTTTTTCACATATTACTTGGGCTTACACAGTGAGAATAATTTGTCAACATTTAAAACAACGTGGAAACTAATGTTATAAAAACACTTGAAATACTATCAAAATTTCAGTTTGAAAACGTAAAAATGTGACTTCACATTTCCTAATCCTTCCCGTTTATCGTCACGCATCCTCTAAACATTCCACAATCCCACTCTTTCACCGGAGTGTCATATGTATGCAACACTACTTCTTCTTCGTTCTTAATTTTAGTGTTGGAAGGGATTTTAAATTATTGAAAAATATTGAAAAAAAGTATACGTTTTAGTAAAAGAAAATCCAACCAAACTTTGTATCTAAATATACTTGATTTTCAAAATAATGTTTTTATTCTAAATTCGCATTTCTAAAGGATACGCGAAAAAATTCTTAATTATTTTCTCATGGCTGATGGGATCAGTGACCATTGGTCAACACACTGTCTAGACGCATCTTATTTTCTGTTCACTTATACTAAGCGCAATTCTAATCGCGTCTATACAAGGGGTTTGATATAGATTAGGTTTCGAACTGAAAGCACCTGAGACAGTGATCCAAAGAACTACAACTTGACCACCTCAGCACAAACAATATCTTCAACGCACAACCTCACTAAAAAATTACATCCAGCGATTCCTAAACAAATGTATTTAAACAAAATTAAATTTTTGTTGTTCCAAAAACTCCAATTAGGATTATAGTGTCTCGAATCCAGATTTTTTTGCCATATGTATTGCTGTTAGGGTAAGTGTTGGGATATGGGATACAACTGGGTTAGGATTAATGTCGGGGATTTATTTAGTATTGCCATACAAGTAAAAGCTATTCCACAGAACGCAATTGCGTGTTCTTGTTAATATCGAAATATGTTAAGTAAGTAAAATTGACAAACATGATTTATCCATGAGGCATAGAAACAATTAATTAAAATAAAAAATAAAAAATTTCCAAATAATTTCACCGACAATTAAAACAAAATTAATTATCCAAAGACTTGACTTACAAATTCTAGAGCACAATGTCCACAATGATCGCCTCTCCCCGAGTTCATGTAACTGGTCTACAAGGGAATCCAAACCTTTCTTTATAAATTTGTTACCCGGCCTAGCAACGACCGGCATCGTCGAATGTTTGCTAGCTGCCATAGCAGCCGATACGGATCACAACAAAGACGTGTAGAAACGTGAACACCACGCCACGTGACAACGTGACACCCGCAGTGCCCCGTCCTAAGACCGGTTTTTTTAAAATACTGCTGAGACTTTGTTTCGCCTCATTTGTTGGGGTGCGTACGCAAGAATTGTAACGTCTTTATAAATGTACTATTCATGGTTGAATGTTAGGCGGTGTATGAATCGTAACATTTGTGTTGTTGCGAACTGTGTTTTGGCTGTATACAAAGAGTTAATTACGTCTTTACTAATTATAAAGATTAAAAATAATTTAGCGCGATTATATTTGTTCGCCTATAAAATACATTTATAGTTGCAATGCAACCAAAGTATTATAAAGTACATGTTGATATTTTGAAAATAAGTTAATCACAACGGCTATAGTTCGGTTTAATATCTGATATAGGTTATACTAGGGTAGATGTAGATATACCACGGGCGAGTAGTAGTGCTTAAAGTATCGATTCCAGATAACTGGATTTGGAAGGCGTTTGTTAGTACTGTTGTTTTCACGAGCCTAACCCTAACCCATCAGAGTTGGGTGGATAGGGACGGTCTACTGACTTGAACCTGGATTCGGACCTGGATAGCAGTCCAGCTCTCTACCGCTAGACCACTCCGTCCCCTAAAAATATGTAGTGCTATTGTCTCTGTCCCTGGTGTGTCACGGGCGTGGTTCGTTTTGATTGACCTATTTAAAATACATGGGACGGAGTGGTCTAGCAGTAGAGAGCTGGACTGCTAACCCGGTAGTCTTGAGTTTGAATCCGGGTTCAAGTTAGTAGACCGTCTCTGAGTCCACCCAACTCTGATGGGTACCTAACTCTTGTTAGGGAAAGTAAAGGCGGCTGGACATAGTGCTTACCACACTATCTCTTCATATTCCGAGGTCACAGAAACAAGTTAACTCTACTTCACTGGCCCTATAGACCGTCGGGTTTAAAAGGGGAACATTACTTTTTTTTTACATATGTTTAATGTCTCAATACAATGTCGATGAAGTATTAAGACATCTAGGATACCCCCCCCCCTCATGTCGATTACCTCCCCCTCCCCCAGTCTTTATTCTGTCATTTAAACTCTTCGAATTGATTACCAGCTGTTAATTAACCCTGTTTTTATACCCCAAAAAAACTGCAACAGGATGTTACCCCCTGTCAATTACCCACCGACCACCCTCCCCAGCATATACAGATAAATATAGATATGGATATCTAAAGGATAATTTAGGGATTGGTAAAAGGGTTAAGGTTAGAGCTTGGTGTTAAAGTTAGGGATGGAGATAAGGATAAAATTATGGCTATTTTTAGGAATTTTGCTACGGGTATGAAGCTGGAAATAATAATAACACACTTTATTTTATAACGGTAACAACAGTAGGTAAGGAGGTATTTTTTTTTACAATGGCATTTGTTAAAAAAAATATAGCAACGACGTTTAATAAAATATTAATTAAAAATTAAAATCATCGTAAGAAAATAGCAATTAAAATATGGAAAAAATAAATAATATTGACATAGAAATGGATAAGGATAGGTATAGGGATAATATGTATTTTGGGATTAACTACCAGAAAGGTAATTGACAGGAAGAAGAAGACAATGGTGTAATTGATCAGATGGTTAATTAATTAAGAAAAAGACGGGAAAGGGGGGTGGGTAATAGTCTAATTGACGAGTTTGTGTATAATATCGTATTTAGAAATATTGAAATCACCCAAATTTTTTTTCGCAGTTACACACATGCTCCAACTTTCGTGTAAGGGTAAGGGTAAGGGTAAGGGTAAGGGTAAGGGTAAGGGTAAGGGTAAGGGTTAGGGTAAGGGTAAGGGTAAGGGTAAGGGTAAGGGTAAGGGTAAGGGTAAGGGTAAGGGTAAGGGTAAGGGTAAGGGTAAGGGTAAGGGTAAGGGTAAGGGTAAGGGTAAGGGTAAGGGTAAGGGTAAGGGTAAGGGTAAGGGTAAGGGTAAGGGTAAGGGTAAGGGTAAGGGTAAGGGTTAAGGGTAAGGGTTAGTTACTTTACAATTTTTAATCCAACAGTAACGTACATTGATTTTCAATAACCCCTTTGAAGCTGTAGATATTTACACTGTAACTACGAACGATGCAGCTATGATTACAAAGACTGTTATAAATTAACAAAGGCCATTGATCTCATCACTGAAGAGACGAACATCGTTCCTACATTAGCTCTTACAAACATCACATTCAGGGAGAGTGAAAGCTGATCAAAGTGATGATAGGGGATCTTCACAATAGGTGAACGATAGATCACAATGGATCACAATAATTCACAATGGATCACACTGTTTTAAAATGTTGAACAATACAACTACAACAACCTTTCTCCGTAGGTGACGCATCTAGAGGGAGAAAGTAAACCAGCGACCGATAATGGTTGAATTATTGATAATATACTCACATATTCTAAAACAATTTTCGAGCAGTAGTTTTTTTGTTTATGTAGCGATCGTTCATGCGAAACAAACAATAAGAATACTTGTAGAATTCGTAAGGGTTTATTTTCATCATTTTTATACTGATGTAATGGTTGATTGTTGTTTATTATTTGTAAAAATACAATGAAACATAGATATACAATCCATTCTGTAAACATTACCATTTACACAAAACTAATTTACTAAAATAACCGAAACAAAAATATGAACTCTATTCTGCGAAAAATATAGACTTTGTATCCTTGTCCGAAATCTATCAACCTGACACAATTGTATACATCAGGGGTCTCCAAACTTTTCAGTCCGAGGGCCGCATTAACTATTAAATTTCAGTTCGGGGGCCTATTTCTTCCAGGCATGTCTTTGATTTTTCTGGGCAAAGTTCCTCAACCATCACTAACAAACGATTTTTCCTTGGACGAAAAGATTTCCGCGGGCCGGATGAGAGGACTTCGCGGGCCGCATTCGGCCCGCGGGCCGTAGTTTGGAGACCCCTGGTATACATTAACGTTAATCTAAGCCAGTGGTTCTTAACGCGGGTTCCATCGAACCCCAGGGATTCAGTAAAGGTCAAGACACAATCCAACTCATGATTAGTGATCGAATTTTCGCAATGCGAACAATAGATATATAGAAAAGGGTTCGGTGAATGCGGATATGAAACAGGTGGGGGTTCGGTACCACAAAAAAGTTGAGAACCACTGTTTTAATCCCATAGGCTCAGATTAAACTATCGAAACCAACAAAACCATTGTTTAAATGAAAAACAAGTTACGTTTTCTATTGCAATAAACATTCCTGACACTCCCAGCATGTTTTGTGTAAACATGAATCTAGCCCATAGAAGAGGCATAGCAACCACGTCTAGCGCAGTTTTTTTCCTACTATAAATATCTCAAACCGGACATGATATTTATCCCTCTTGATCGTGTGTATTAAACAGAAGATTTATTGTTGAAATGTAAATTCTAAAAGCTAATCGATTGTCTTACGACTTAATGATTGCAAATGTTTATTGATCACGTAGGCTACTAGCAGCAGTTTTTGTTCCACGTATAAGCTAGATATGTATCTCTGCTGGGTAGGTTAGTGATATATATCTAGTTATAGGCATACGGACACTAGTTCTATACATGCCTACATTAGTTCTAGACCCACTGACCAAAGTTCCGTACATCCGGACACTAGTTCTATACATGCCTACATTAGTTCTAGACCCACTGACCAAAGTTCCGTACATCCGGACACTAGTTCTATACATGCCTACATTAGTTCTAGACCCACTGACCAAAGTTCCGTACATCCGGACACTAGTTCTATACATGCCTACATTAGTTCTAGACCCACTGACCAAAGTTCCGTACATCCGGACACTAGTTCTATACATGCCTACATTAGTTCTAGACCCACTGACCAAAGTTCCGTACATCCGGACACTAGTTCAATACATGCCTACATTAGTTCTAGACCCACTGACCAAAGTTCCGTACATCCGGACACTAGTTCTATACATGCCTACATTAGTTCTAGACCCACTGACCAAAGTTCCGTACATCCGGACACTAGTTCTATACATGCCTACATTAGTTCTAGACCCACTGACCAAAGTTCCGTACATCCGGACACTAGTTCTATACATGCCTACATTAGTTCTAGACCCACTGACCAAAGTTCCGTGCATCCGGACACTAGTTCTATACATGCCTACATTAGTTCTAGACCCACTGACCAAAGTTCCGTACACCCGGACACTAGTTCTATACATTTCTATATGTTAGGCACACACTGACCAAAATTCCGTACATCCGGAAACTAGTTCTATACATTTCTGTATGTTAGGCACACACTGACCAAAATTCCGTACATCCGGACACTAGTTCTATACATTTCTATATGTTAGGCACACACTGACCAAAATTCCGTACATCCGGAAACTAGTTCTATACATTTCTACATTAAATCTGTACACACTGACCAAAACTCCGTACATCCGGAAACAAGTTCTATACATTTATACAGTAGTTCCGTACACCCGGACAAATATTATATGTATCCGGACATTAGTTCTATTCACTCTGGGCAAAAAATCTGTACAATCGGATATTACTTCTTTACATCCGGACTATAGTTATCCACTTACGGGCTAACTTCTATTTAATGAATTTGATAGTCCCTTACACAAAACATTAGCCTAACGTATTTTACGTTCACAACCAACCGTACAACCCTTGCCACTTAATGTATGCCCCCCCCCCCCCCCCCCACACACACACTTGCAAACGCATCCCACCCGCTTTGGTGCCAAGTTGTGTTTTACACACTAAACAACTACAGCCTAACACGGCTTAATGGTACTTCAACCTGTAAGTGTTATTGCTCTACGTTGTGGTAAGCGTTAAGTCAAGTAGAAAAATAAATGTTCGTTGAAGTCAAGTTGTAAGTATAAAGCCTATAAGCCAGGCATAAACTAGAAAAAGACAGAGCTAGAAAAAAAGGCATAGAATTGGGTGTAATCAAGGGGAGTGGCATGGCCTAGTGGTAGATCACAAGACTGCTAACACTAAAGTC